GATATTCCTACATTCATTCCACATCACACCTATTGACATCTTAGTGCACACAGTGGGAAATGCCACTAATGTTTTCAAGATTATTGCTGATAGAAGCAGGAGTAGTTGGAAGCCTCTGGCCTTTTAATCTATGGCTGAAAGAGACAGGCAACTTGGTACTCGGAACTAACAGACAAATCAGCAGAGAGAGGCTGCTGTCTTAATGAAGCTTTGGCAGTTCCTTCCCAAACTTTGCAGGTAGTGTATAACCCAGGAAGATCCCACTGTCTGGCAAGAATTATGACATATGGCCTTTTCACTTATTAAGATTTATGTAAGCCTTACCTTCACTCAATAATCTTTGCTATCAGTTTGATTTTCTTACGCATTTTTTTTTGTCTTAGAATTTTTAATAAGGTGTGCATTCAGTTATAGTTTTCCTTTTTTCTTGAGTTTCCCATAGTATTTAGCACAATGTTAGAAATATGACGTTTTTAATATTTGATGGGATCATGTTTGTGCTAGTTTTCCTTCTCTGCTCTCTCTCTTTTTGAATGAATGGTTGCTATAGTTTATATCTAGATGTACCCCAAGACCTCAGGTGCTCAAAGGTATGGGTTTGGGTGGGTGATTGGATCTTGGTGGTATGGCACTAATCAGTGGATAAGTCTTATCCATTTATTGCTAAATGTGATTTGGGCAGTTAAGCCTGGTTGGAGGAGGTAGGCCACAGGAGGTGTGGCCTGGCAGGGTCTGTCTCCATCTAGCTTCCCTTGATCCCTCTCTCTGCATCCTGCCTGACCTGCCATGAGCTGTTTCTCTTCTGCCATGCCTCTCTGCTAGGCTCTCCTGCCTTGGAACCAGCCAAATATGGCCTAAAACCTCTACAAACTGTGAGCCAAAATAAATCTCTCTTCCTTTTACTTGTGGGTGTCTAGTATTTTGTTCCAGCAATGAGAGAGTAATTAAGACAATGCAACTTTATTCCAGGTCTTCTATGAAGCCTGATCCTTCAACTGTCCATTAGCCTTTTCTGTCTTTACACAGGGAGGGACCAGGGGAAAAGACCTCATCTTGGAATCAGAAACCTGAATTTGTGTCTCTGCCTTTTCACTACCTGTGTGAACTTGAGAAAGTCATTTAATCTGGCTGGATCTTCATCTAATTATCTGTTAATTGAGATGGTTTGCTAAATGATTTCTCAGATTGTTTTTCTTTTTTTTGAGACAGTGTCTTGCTGTGTAGCCCAGGCTGACCTTGAACTTGTGATCCTTCTGCCTCAGTTTCCTAAGTACTGGGATTACAAGTGTCCACCACCATGTCTTCTACCTGATTTTATTTTTAATACTCTAGATCTATGTTGTCCAATATGGTGGCCATTGACTACATGGGCTTCTGAGCGTTTGAAATGTGACTACTCAGACTGACATGTGCTGACAAGTGTAAAATACATACTGGATTTCATTAATAGCTTTTATAATGGTGAAATGTTGAAATTATATTTTGAATCTATTGGTTTTAATGAATTATTAGAATTAATTTCATGTGTTTCTTTTTATCTTATAATGCTGCTAAGACAAAATGTAAAATTACATATGTGGTTCTATGGACTCAGCTGTGTCTCCCCAAATGCATATGTTAAAGCCTTGGTTTCCACTGTGATGATTTTAGGGGGTGGAGCCTTTGGAAAGTAGTCAGGTTTAGATGAGGTCATGAGGGTGGGGCCCACAATGGGATTAATGCGTTTATTGGGAGAGAAACCAGTTCTTTCTCACTCTCCGCCATGTAAGTCACCATGAGAAGTCAGCCACATAGAAGCCAGGAAGAAGCCCTTTACTAGAATCCAGCTATGCTCATACCCTGACCTTGGACTTGTAGCCTCCAAAACAATGAGAAAATAAATTCTTGTTGTTTAAGGCACCCAGTCTATGATATTTTATCATGGCAGCCAGAGCCGGCCACAATATGTGGCTTGTATTATTTCTATTGAACAACATGGGTCTGGATCTCTGGGAACTTTTACACGCCAGCCTTTTGGCATTTTTAACTTTTTACATTGTATCTGGAGAGCCAGGATGATCTCCAGAGCATTCCTTGAAACACTCAGCCCAGTGTTTCTCCCTAGTTGCTATTCAATACACACCTGATAAGAAAGTCATCCTCTTAGCTATAAGCAATACAAGTAATGTCTGGATGATTTATGCTAAAGAGGAACTCATTAAGATGATATTGGCTGGGGCTGGGGATTTAGCTCAGCGGCAAAGCGCCTGCCTGGCAAGCGCAAGGTCGTGAGTTCAGTTCCCAGTACTGGAGGAACCGCCCCCCCCCACAAAAAAAGATGATATTGGCTAAAGACTGGAATCACTGCAGGACAGATGAACCAAGCTTGGAGGGTACACTGAGGGAGACAGCAATGTCCCACATTTCTCTGAAGACTAGTCTGGTGGACATTCCACTGCTGCCCCTGAGAAGCAATGCTGACTATCCACTGATAGAGTGGAGTGGGCATTCACTAGTGGAAGCCTCACTAGCTCCCAGTCAAGTCTGTCGACTGAGTTTAAATTGGGAAGTCTAGCTCCAAGGCAGTCTGGGGAGGCAAGTGCTCACTTTTTAGCTTCTGTAGTAAGAAGTGGGCTCTTATCCTATGAGGGGTATTGACTCTGCTAACATAGGTAAGGTCTTTAGATGTTAGACTGACAAAAGAGAATGATGAGAGATCTTTACCATGGTGGCCTGACACCTTCAATTTTGATTGGGACACAGTGGAAGTTTTCATACGGAGGCTCCTCGAGGGGACATTGCTCCACACAGGACACTCCTCAAATCTCTTTGCGGTTCTTCTGGAAAGTGTGAAGAATAATGGTTGATGTTCTGTACTCTAATGCTGTGATTATAATTTCATTATGGCCTTTGAAATTTCTTATATGATATTTTAATATGGAGACACAGGAGGGCACTCTAACCAACCAGCAGTGAAACGTGAATGGCTTTGTAGCCTTGGAAGTTAAAAATGGATATTGATTTTGTTGAACCTTGTTGTTGTTCCAGGCAGGACAATCAACTTTGCAGAAATATTTGTCTGCCCTAGGGTATTGCACCTGTGACAAAGGTGTCCAAGACATATTATCCATATTGTTCACTTAATGTTCTCGGGACAGTGGTTGGGAACAAATCAGAACAAGAAGAGTTTTATGTTTGTTTGTTTGTTTGTTTGCTTTCAAGGTGCTGTCTTGGTTGCTTTATTCCCCAGGCTGCCTAGAGCTTATTCAAGTCATCTTTCTGCCACAGCTTCCTGAGTAGCTGGGCTCCACCACTCAGGGATAAGGAAGGAGGGTTTTTGATCACAAGGTTTTTTTACCCTCTCAGTCACTAAAGAAATGGAGACAAAGTTGCAAAGTGCTCCTATTTAGGGATCAATAGGCCAAATCAAATTTAGAACAGACTAGAAAGACCCTGTTGGAGTTGGACTTCCTTAAACGTACACCCAGTCCCTACGACTGTTTTCTCATCTGTAAAATGGAGATAACACCTGCCCTATGTCTGTATACTTTGCCAATGGAGAGGAAGAGCGGGAAGGTGTTGGGAGTAACATATATAGGGGCAACATTACCCACCCCGTACAAAACATTGAGTTTCATTTAAAAAAAGAAAAACCAGCTTGCCGCCTGTTAATGAATGATAGCCCACGGAGGGACAAAGCGCAGGGTAGGGCAGTTGGGGTAACAGAATGACTAGGGTAGGGTAGGTCAGAACAAGACCAGCTCGCTCGGGACCAATTTCCTCATACCTGCCTCTCAAGCTGCAGAGCGGACACGAGGGAGGAAGGGGCACAGAGCTGCGGTGCAGGTTCTCCCTTGCCAGGGGCAGACAGGTTCCTGGCAACCCCGGGGTTACTCACGATCAAGGGTGCCGCCTGGCCGAGGCTGCTCTCCCGGCTGGCAGGAGGCGGACGGCGGGGCGCAGCCAGGAGCTGCGGGTCCCAGCTAGCCCGTGCGCTCCGCAGCGAGGCGCAGGGCTCCGCCGCGGTCCTGGCTCAGCCCTCACTGTCCCACGCCCGGCTCAGACTCAGTGCCACCGTCTATGGCGCTCGCCTCTCAGTTTTGGGACTCGGGTCAAAAGAGAAAAGGAGAGAAACCGGGACGCGATGGAGAAAAAGAGCAAGAAGGTGCCAAATTCCACTCACCGGGTGGTTACAGCGCGTGCGCGGAGAGCGGGCCACAAATCCCTGTATCCCTCCAGCTCTCCGCCCAGAGCAGGAGATCGCCCACCCGAGAGCCGGGCGCTGGGCTAAGCTACGTGAGCTCTTATTTCTCCCAAACCCCGCAAGTGGCAGGAACTGCAATCGTCAGTGTGTTGCAGGTGTGTGCGGGTGTGTGTGTGTGTGTGTGTGTGTGTGTGTGTGTGTGTGTGTGACCTGGGAGAACTTGGAGTTTTGCAGCTAGTGGTGGAACCAGGTCTCTGAGTAAGGTTTAAGTGACCCTGAAGCGCCCTCAGCACTGCGGGCTATTGTCCGATCGCGCAGTTTGCACCTGTAGCAGCCCTTGCTGAGCGCAAGTAGAACATAAGGATCAAGATGAGCAGGTGGCTCTGCTCCATCCGGACCCTGGGTCCGGGACAGGGAGGGACTATTCCTGGCCCGGGGGCAGCGTTGCACCTTGGAGAGGATGAACTTCCTTCTCCAGAGATAGCCTCCTCAGCCTGCCCATGGTTTCCAGATGTCCCCGCTGGAGCACAAGGGGAGAGTGGAGGATTTTGCGGTCCGCGGGAGGACCCTAGCGCGATGCCGGATAGCTGGAGTCTCAGCACTCTGAAAGCCGGCCAGAGAAGGAGCAGAGAGTCCGCGCGTTTTGGCGTCCACGCGGTGGGTTGCGGCGCTTTCATTCAAACTTTGGGGAGAGTTGGTTGTATCGTCAGCGAAGGTGTGACCAATCAGCGTCCAGAAACGAGAATAAATTATGCAAATAACCATCTGGCGATGGGTCAGATGACTCCGATACTTTAAAAACTACCTCTCCAGGAGCTCGCAGCGAGGAGCCCTGGGTTCCCAGTGGCCTAGGGCGAGGGCAGGTTTCGCTCTACAGCAAGCCGGTCCACACTCTCTTCCCTCAGCCCCGCAGTCAGGGAAGCCAAGGTTTCAATTTCCACCCTCTCCTCCAGCTGTCTAGACCACCACCTGGTTGACAGAAGGCAGCTCACCTTTGAGCTGTACCAGCTCGGAAGGTGGTGGTGGCTTTAAAAAAAAAAAAAAAAAAATCCCTTGTTAAGGGGAGTGGGTTTGGCGGGGAAGCGGGTGGGAAAGGATGAGAAACTTCGTTTTTCTTCTCTGCTTCTGGAGCATCTATTGTTGCTTTGGGGCGGGAAGCCCCACACCCTTTGGTCCCGAGGGACAGCCGGAAGGTAATGTGCATTTATTTTTATTTACCCACCTCAACTTTTCTGTGCTGGGGGCTCTCTCTGTCTTGCCAACTCTTCCTCAGCCCCTCCGTGTCTCTGTGAAATTCTCTTCTTTTTCATTGCGCGATCCGTTCTCTCCTCCGACTCAGCCTTGGAGGCCACTTGTTCCTCGGCGCTTCTGATAAAGGGATTCCCCTAGCAAGACATCCAGGAGGCGACAGGTGGGGAGGGTGCGCTGGCTGGCGCCCTCTCTGTTGGTCCCACCCCTTCCCTCGTATGGCTCCCCCTAATCGTTGCTGTCCAGCCAACGGACTTGGCTTGTCAGCTGCTCTTTTTAAAGGTGGGGGCAAAAAGTTTGTTAGAAAGAGTTCTGCCTTCTCTCTGGCACTCCTTTTAACCTTGGGTAGGTGTTTTGAAAGTTCAGTGGGCAGGAGAGCTGGTTTTGGTTTGATTAGTGCTTACAGGGGCCTTCTGTGGGTAACTGGGGCTGAGAAACAGCTGGTGAGGTCATTCCTCCAGATTGTCAGCCGCTTTGCTCCCCAACACTCTTTCCTGCCTCACTTTTCCCCTTTCTCCTTCCTGGTAGCTTTTCTTTCTCTTAGGTTCTGTATGGCATTTTTTCCCCTGCTGGAGGCTGCCTGCATGGTGGAGTGAGGACAGGTCATCTAGGGCCAGCTGGTTAAGCAGTGTAGAACTGGGGAACCCTTAAACCCAGTCCCACTCTTAAGCCCAGTTTGCAGATGTTGAGCCAATGTCAGTGGAGGTACTTGTGGAACAATCATTTGAATGAATGAGAAAGGCTTACTCTACTAAATGTGTTTCCAACTCTAGGTGCTGACTAGAAGCATGACCTAGGATGTGTCACATCTTTTCTTTCTTTCCTGAAAAATGCTAAAGTTCCTTCCAACTTTTGTGCTCTGTACATTTGTGGGCCATGTCATTCATTCAAGAAGTATTCATTGCATTTCTGCTCAGTGGCAGACACTCTTCCAGGAGTGGAGGAGACAGCAAGGATCAGAATGGATGACAGCCCCGTCCTTGTGGCACCATGGTGACAGTGAACTAATGAAAATGCAGAAATGGTGCTTAGGCTCATGGAGGAAAATAGCAGAGGAGGAAAGGGGTGAGGTTTTATTGTGTGGTCCAGAGGACCTTCTTGAGAACTTGCCTCTTGAACATGGAGCTCAAAGAGGTGAGAGAGGAACCACAAGGGCATCTGGGTGAAGAACAGTCATAAAGCCCTGAGGCAGAGTGGCACAGTCCCAGAGTAGCAGGAATGAAACGGGAAAACTGTGGGGTCAGAGCAAGCCTGATGCCAAGGTAGAACTTGTTTGTCCATGTGTGGCTTTGCTCACATGTCTATCTCAGGCGGCCAGCAGACCTCTTTTGCCCTAAGCTTTCCTCTTTGCTCTCCAGATAGAAACTGGGGAGCTGACAAAGTACTTACAGCCATGGTTCAAATTTCTGCCATTTGGGGCATTTGTATATTACTTTGACAATAGTTAACCTGAGTTCTGTTCATTTGATTTAGCAGCATTTTCTGGAATGTAACCCTCCTTACATCTGTCTGGTCCATTTCCTACCTGTCCTTGGTTCCTGCCACCTCTATTTATCACTACTTTCTCCACAACTGTGATTGTGCTTTCCATGATTCCTTTTGCTTTTTAACTCTGGGATAACTTATGTTCTTGTTGTGCTCATTTGGTATCTCCCCGACTGCCGGGTGACCAGAGAGCTTGATGCTCTAGCTGGCTAGCCTATCATCTACTTACCAGGATGACTGAGAGAGTGCTGGTGGAGAGCCATTAGTAACTATCCAAAATAGTGTGGAGATGGCAGTGCCCACCTAGTGTCCCATGATCTTAGGAATGATCAGTGGCATATGCTGAGCTTTGAGAACAGGGCCATTTCCTCGGTAGCATTGTATGAGTGGCAGAACTGAAAGAGGTGGCTTTGTTTCTCTAAGCTGTTTCTTCACAGCTTCAATCATTCATGTAATAAACTGGGTGAATGTCTGGTGCCTGTCAGCATTGAAAAGGATCCTGAGGATGTATGAGATCCTTGAAGAAAGTGCTAGAAGCAAGACGAGAACACCAGGGAAAACCCATTATACAACAAATGGTCAACAGCCTCTTATCTGCAATTGCAAAATCCAGAATCCCTCAAAATTGGAAAATTGGTTGGGAATTTGTTTGTCAGCAAGACCTGGCCTTATCTAATCTGAACTTATTTGGCAGCAAAATCTGATCTGAGGGGGCAGGAGTCTATTCATAATCTTTTCATTTTTGCCCTTGAATGTGAGTAATCCTGTATTTCTCTGCAGAAGTCTTAGAGTATTTGATTTGTGGGGGAGAGACCCCAGACCCCATGGGAAGTGTCGTATAATATATAGCATATGCCTTTCTAAAATATGACAATTTCTGAATTAAGAGACCCAGCTGGTCCTAGGCTTTTTGAGAAAAGAATTGAAGACCCATTTACTAAAAGTAGGAACCTGAGGGAAAAAAGAAGTTGTTTTGGTAGGGATGTGTCTTGATTACTTTCCTCACTGCTGAGAGAAAATACTTGACACCCAAAGTTAAAGGATGAAAGGTTTATATAGCTCACAGTTTGTAGGAGTTTCAGTCTATAGTTGGCTGACTCCAAGGTAAGGTGGCACATGGCAGAAGGGGAACCATTCATGGCAGTGGAAGACAGCAAAAGCAACAAGGGAGAGAGGGCTAGATGAGCCTCTACCTGTCCCTTATATTGTATCATCTACTGGGATTAGGGCAGTGCCACTCCAATCAGTGGAATGACTTAGCAATCACCCACCCTTAATTTCAGCACCATTAATCCCAGCATTGTTCTATGAATCAATCACACACCCTAGATTTAGCCACCACTGAAAAAAACTGTATGACCACATGAGGTTTGGGGGGACATTCATACACAAACCATAACAGGACAAATAGAGAAAAGTAACAGATGCCTATTTCAGAGCCATAGTAATAGCATAGTAAGTGACTAATTAATCCTTATTGAGTATACATATAATGTCCCCTTTATAATATCTTCACAATTTTCCCAGAAGGTAAAGAGGGAATATTCAGCAGGTGTAAAAACTGGAACCTACATGGTTAAGTAATTTGCTCAAGACTGGACTAGAACTAGACCTGTTATTGCTCTAGCCATCAGAAGCACGCAGTTTCTGTTCTTTCTCTCCAGATGAGCTTCACAAACCCAGGGAAGTACAGGCTGCAGCCAAACCCTCCGTGCATTTTAACTTCAGAACTTCTAAGGACCCAGAGCATGAAGGATGCTACCTCTCCATTGGCCACAACCAGCAACTAGAAGACTGTGGCTTCAACATGACAGCCAAAACCTTTTTCGTCATTCATGGATGGACGGTGAGCTGGGGGAGGTTAGCTCTGTGGCTTTACACAAATTTGGTTCCCTTTGTTTTGGTCAATTAAAAAGAATACTGGTGCTTCCACATTCCAAAGCCTCTCCCTCCTTTCCTTGTGGGCTACTTGTATTTCAGACAGCTGTGAAGGATGTAATGGGCACTTCGCTGAGGGGGCAACCTGGACTCCAGCAGGGTGGTATTTAGTGCTGGCACACAACAGCCTTTCAGAAAGTGGCTCTCTGGAGGGGAGCGGCCTAGCTCCACCGGCTCTGAAGGACCCTCTAATTATACTTAATTACATTGGTCAACCACTGCCTGGAGGGGGCCATCCTGCCTTAAGAGCTGAGCTGTGCTGAAGCAACTTGACTGGCTCTGAGAATCTGTGCGGGACCAGCTGGCCTGGCTGTCTGTCTGCTGTTGGCATAGTGCCCTTCTGTTTGCATAGAGATGGCCCCGTTTAAAGGCACTGGGATTCTTTATGTGCCCTAGCTGAGCAATTCCCATTGAGAGGCCCATGACAAACTTCAACAAAAAAGGGCTTTAATACTCAGCTTCAGAAGTTCTTGGCCAGCAGCGGATTTATTCATTCATATAATGACAGTCTGTAGGAAAATGGCACTTTTAAGTGAGCAGGTTTCTGCCCTGGCTAATTGGGTGGGGACATTCTTCCACTTAATGATGAGAAATTCATATCTGTTACATTCTTTCTGGATCTTTAGGTCTATCACCAACATTTGGGGTTGGGGTCTGGTATGGGAAGGGTAGGTACTCACCTACTTAATATGATGAAGCAATGATTAAGGGCCTGTCCTTGGTCCTCATCCCGCAGGCTGCAACTGGAATCATGCATTTGAGTCTTTTTAAGGGCCTTCTGTCAAAATGCAAATACAAACTGCCTGCAAATGGGGTGCATTCCAGAAAGTTCCTTTGTAATGTGTTTGGAACTTGGACCAGCAGTTTCCCATAGAAGGAAGATTGTAAATAGTGTTTGGGTTCCCAGCCAAAGCACAGACAATCTATTTATTTGATAATGTACTTGTAGATAGGTTTACAACTGATCCTAGTCACCATTTATAACTTTGTTTCTGTGGGAAAACGTGTCCTGAGTTCTGATTTGGGATTCCAGGAATGGATTTTCCCAACTTTGGAGTCAAAAGGATTGGGAGAGATGGGTTGTGGGAAGCGGTCATTTGTTAACTCTGTATTTGCCTAGGAAACAGCATCTCCCTGCATCTCTAAGGGAGGAGCTGATTCTCCAGGGCAACCCTTCCCAGCTGCCTCTGAAGGACAGACCAAGCCACTTGTCTGACTGTGGCAAGGACTCAGCTAACATCATGTCAGCATCACCACCAACACATATAAGTTGCAGGGAAGCAGCATAGATCACCAGCTATGAAAGTTTTGATGGGAAAAACTGGGGCTATAAAGAGAAATGGAAGAAAACACTCATGTAGCCATTCTGTCTCGGAGTGGCCCTCCTCATGTACAAGTGTTTGGTTCCTGATCCTCTGAGCTAAAGATTTTAAAATCAAATGGGTTGAGGGTTATGGTACGAAATTCCATACAGCAAGTCTCACACTTACAAATATTTGAGTTACGAACTTCCACAGGTGTACTATATAAAACTTACTTGTATCCGACTTTTGAACATTCTCCTAGAACAGAACTCATTCGTAAATCAGGGACGTACTGTGTGCATCAGCATCTCAAAGTCTGGAAGAAGAATTTTTTTAAAGTTTCCTGTTTTCTTTGCAGATGGGTGGCATGCTTCATAACTGGCTGTTCAAACTTGTGTCAGCCCTGCAGACAAGAGAGAAAGATGCCAATGTAGTAGTGGTGGACTGGCTGCCCCTGGCTCACCAGCTGTACACAGATGCGGTCAATAACTCCAGGGTGGTGGGGCACAGTGTGGCAAGGATGCTTGACTGGCTGCAGGTAACTTCCAGACTCTGACAAAAATCTTTAGAATTATTATTTTTTTTCTGAATTAAGTATTACTTGAAATATTTGAAGCTGGTATTTTAAGAGAACCTTTTAATTACTGATAGATCTCTGAATTTTTAATTTGCTGTAGGAAAATCTGCCTTATGGGTAGTTCCTTGCTGATCTTAGAAACTGATGTCCTTAGATTGGTTGGGGTAGCCAGGAGCCAGGACAGCCTTGTGGTCTTCAACTTCTGAAGCTTGGTATTGCCTCTGAAGTATGGCTGTACTAAGGGTGGGGAGGAGGTTGGTTCAACCACAGGAAGCCTGTTAGACTTGTTTAAAATATTAAATGTGCAAAACAGATCTTGAGATCTTGTATTTACTTTTTATAAGTTAATGATTTGCCTGAGACCAGTGGACTTCGCTGGGGCAGGAGGGGCAGGGATGTACTGGCAAAGTGCCCCTCAGATCTGGGCAAGTCTATCCTGATTTCATTTTACCCATGGAGTCTGATGAGTTCTGGCAGAATTCTCGGCAGGGTTTTTGAGCAGGCCCTCTCTACTTTGTTTGTGGTTTTGGAGAGTTTTGTTCTGGACCATGGAGCCAAGTCCCTGCTTTCTCACTTCCCACCAGCTAACTTTGGAAAGAAGATGTTCCTCCAACTCTGGGGTCCTGGATGTGCTTATGGTACAGAGGTTAGCAGCTATGAAACTCAAAGTCTAAGCTGTTGTAAGCTATACCTAGTACTTTGGTCTCCAATGAGTAGGGTGTCTTTGACTTCTACATTGCCCCTCTGCCCCCTAGATACTGCTGAAAAGAATGGAAAACATGTAGATAAACTTGTGAGAGAACAGGCACACATGCAACCTGTAATCACATTCTCTTCCTTGCCTTCTTGGCATTTGAAGTGTCATAGTCCCTTTGACCTCCCACCCTTGGCTGAGAGCCCTGTACCTTGAGTGTCCAGAAATGCCCCAGGGAATCTCTGTGTCTGTGGCTCCTCCTCATTTTGTTGGATTTGTTGAACCGTTGGTGGCTCTGAGGACAAAAGACAAGGTTGTTCACCTCACATGCTTTGGTGACTTTCCACAGGAAAAGGATGGTTTTTCTCTGGCGAACGTTCACTTGATTGGCTACAGCCTTGGAGCACATGTGGCCGGATATGCCGGCAACTTCGTGAAAGGAACTGTGGGCAGAATCACAGGTAAGCTCTGTTTCTACCACCACCACCAGCTGTGACCCTCACTCCTTCTCTCTCTCCAGTCTGGATGTTCTGAACCAGAGTTCTACCCAGTGAGGCAACTTGAATGAGTCAGAGATGGCCAGCTTTCGAAGGAACCTGGAGAAGAATCCAGAGCTTTCCAAATATTCTTTTTTTGACACAGAACCCTTTTCAAATTGAACTTGTATGGAATTTCAAAATATGAGTTTGATAGGCATGGCTCTTCTGATTGAAGCTGGGAGGGTAGTTATAGGTCGTGTTAGCCTTGCCATTTGGGCCTTCCCATCCCTCAGAGGAACCTCAGGCTCTCAGAGTACTAGGGAACACAGTTTGCAAATCACAGGTCTAGTTTACCAGGTGAGAAAACAGTCAGAGGTATGGCAGTTTGCCCAGGCACAAAAAGCTAAGAACGGTAAAGCAGAAGTCAGTCAGGTGTGGTGGCGCATGCCTGTTATCCCAGCACTGGGGGGCTGAGGCAGGAAGATCACAGTTCAAGGCCAGCTTCAGCTATATAATGAGTTCAAGTCCAGCTTGAACTACGCAGTGAGATGCTGTCTCAAGGAAAAAAAAAAAAAAAAAGAAACCAGGGTACATCCCAGGCCTCTAAGCTTCTGGGTATTCAGATCTGTGCTTGGGGACTTAAAGGAAAAGAATGAATGATGGATCCTACTTTGCATTCTGCCTCTCTGATTTGTATTTCATTTACCAATAGCTTCTCTTTAATGTTAAAATACCATATTTTTTAACAACAGCTAACTATTTAGAATGAATGGTTAAACTTTGTAATTAAACACTTCTGAGGTTAGTACCTAGATGGTCATTAGAAAATTGAGTCTTCTATCTTGAAAACTTCATCTCAGTGAACTTTTAATACGAGATTCTGTATTCTGGATCAAATTATTTAATGATTTTGAAAAATATGAAAGATTCACTTTTCCATTTTGGGGCCCCCTTAGATACACAGAGCTTCCTCTATATGAAAATTAAAAGTAAATTTGTTTTCCTGACCTTTTTTCTCCTTCTGGCATTCTTTTATATGTGTTTTTCTCCAGCTTTCCCCTCAGCTCCAAGATACCAAGGATGTGTTTTAAACTCTTCTGTTGCTATAACCAAATTGCACAGATGGGATAATTTATAAAGAATGGAAGCTTACTTAGCTTTCTGCCATCTGGGGAGGGAGGGCCTTCTAGCTGCATGATAATATGGTGAAGGGCATCACACGGTTGGATAGAACACATGTCCTAACATGGTCACTCTTTTATAAAGTCAGCAGTGTCATCATAAGGTTTCCACACTGATGACAGCATTTTATCCTAATTGCTTCCCAAAGGCCTGACTTCCAAGTACTGTTAACATTTTAATTTGAAGATTAATTTTCCAACACCTGGACTTTGGGGAATGTCTTGGTTACTTTTCCTTCAGTGCAGAGACAAAATACCTGACACCCAAAATTAAAGGAGGAAAGGTTTATTTAGCTTACAGTTTGTGGACATTTCATTCCATATTTGGTTGGCTCCAAGGCAGGGTGGCACATGGCAGAGGGCAACTGTTCACGGCAGCGGTGGAAAACAGCAAAAGCAAAAAAAGCAAAAGGGGAGGAATGTTAGCAAGCCTGTTTCCCTCCCTTATTGTATGCAGGCTACCTGTGCCAGGGTGAGTGTAGCACTCACACCCATAATCCCAATACTAGACCAGGAATCAATCAAAAACTCTACAAGCCCGCCCCATGACTGCATGAGGCTTTGGGGGAACATCCAGACACAAACCATAACAGGGAAACACATTCATACCATAGCAAGTGGTCATCTAAGAGGAAAGAGCTGATCAATGTCTTTACCTGCAGTGTTTTCATTTTAAAATCAAACTCAGGGAGAAAGGAATCTTAAGATAAAGAATGACTTAGTAAAGGTAGAATTTCAGGTTGTGACAACAGGCTTGTAGGCTAGGTTTTTTAAAAATACATTTTTGAGGATTTATTGTCTTTCCCCAGTTGCTGTTTCCAGGCTTAAATCTAATACCACAGGCTTATGCTTGCATATTTCCTTAGATCTGGCGACTCCATCTCTGTATAGCTCAAGGGCTTTATTTGTGATTTCCAAGGTGGTGAGTTGAGAGCTGTGCAGCGTGAGCTGTAACTGTATAGCCACCCTGTGCTGCTCATTAACCCCCCACTGCTGGCACAGAGCAGTTCTACCTGAGGCCACTCTGGGTTCTACCATGTGAGTACTTCTAACCAACCCTTGAAAGAGCCAGGCAAGATGGGTTCAAACTGTCGCACTTACAAGGCCCCCACCACAGTCAAGGCCCAGAGTGTCCTTGCCTTTCCCTGTTTCTAAATCTGAAATGAGCCAGGGCTGGTGGAGGCATTTTCTACTTCTTCTCCCTGCTTGTTTAGGTGGCAGCTGCTGAGAGGAGGGCTTCTTGCCTGTGGCCAGCCGGGGAACCAGCAGAATGCTAATCATTGCTGCATGCAGCAGGCCTGTATGTCCCAGACATAGCCGTTCCCTCTGCCTCTCTCCAGTTGCCTTGCAGCTCTTCAGAGGGCATTTGGCTTACCTCTTGCAAATGGCTGTGCATGTCTGGTGGGGGAAGCTGTCTCTCATCCTCGTCTCTCAGTAGTAGATTTATTCTGGGTTTGTGAGCCAGGTGGTTCCAACTGGTAAGAGGACAGAGCCTGCAGCTTGCATGGGATCTTCAGGCTGGTGATGCCATTGTGCAGAGAGAGCCAGGGGATTCTAAGCCCGGGCCTTCAAGGGCATACCTAAACCCCAATCTGGCTTGAGTCAAAGGATGTGGTTAGAGGTTTGCTGGAGTTTTACCTTCTTTGTCTCCTGAGAGAAGTCTGTAATATACTGGGAAAGATGTCATGCATTTCTAACTGAACCTGTGTGTAGTTATAAACAAATAAACAAGCAGATTAACTTTTTTAGGAAATATAAATTAAACATCTACTCTGTGTAGGCTCTAGACTAGTTGTTGCCTCATATCAAATAGCTCAAGTGTACTTCCTTGACAAGTCAGTGACAAGGTGCTGTGTGCTATCTCTGAGCTGTGCAGGAAACCTGTACATTTTACAGGTGGGAAAAATAGGTCTCAGGGGTTAAATAACAGGCCTGTTATCTTGCATTCTATCAGTAGCAGATCTGGGATTCAAATCCATGCTGCAAGACTCCGGAGTTGGTACCCAACCAGTGACCCATGCTGCCTCTCTCTGGAGGTAGAGGTAATGACTGAATGGAAGAAATGTAGTTCTCTATCCTCCCCTTTTTTTGGAGGGTGTGAGTTATTCCTCCCATTCCTAGTTTAAAAAGTAGATTGTATTGCCCTGAGTCTGTGGACCATAGCTGTGTGTCAGAGACAGTCTGAGCAGGGAGGCCAGCTCAGTCTGGGTAGGTGAAGGTTCTGCCTGCCCCTCTGCTGGCCTGTGAGGCCCCGTCAGCTGCCTGCATTCCGCCAGTGCAGCTTGGTTTCCATGGCACTGCACGTCTAGTGGGGACCTTTGTTCACACTGAGCAAAGAGCCTCTCGTATTGGTTGCAAAGCAGAATGTTCCAAAGCAGAACATTCCCCTATTTATTCCCCCCTCCAGTGCATATAGCAAGAGGCAGGGAGAGGTGCTTGTGTCAGTACTGCGGTCCTTGTAACCTCTAGAGTGAGTCATTGTGGGCTACCCTAGAAGGATACTGTTTTTGTGCTGTCATTCTTTTGAGTCCTGGGCTAAGGATGAGCCCCTAAGCAGTCTGGTTTCCCTTTCTTTCACCTTTCTTACACATAAAATCATCTAAACCTCTTTGGGAAACTCTAGTTTCAACTTTGACCAGTTCTCATGAGTAATGGTCAAACAGTTGACTATTTGTTTGAGACAGTAGCTCGCCTTTCCTTTATCCTGGGATTTTCCTTTCAAACTTCATAGTGTGCTCCCTGGTTCTTCATGCTGGGTCTGGTAAAGAGACTCTGTTGCCGATCTCCTCCACTGCTCTTCTCCTCCTTTCAGCACTTGTTCCTGGTTGCGTCCCCTCCTGCCAAGGTGCTTTTTATATATGGAGCTAGGCAGGGATTCGTTGTACATGCCTGTGTGTGTGGCACTGTCTTGTCCAATGTAGGATGTTTCACTATATCCCTGACCTGTTCCCACCAGAAGCTAGTAGCTCTCTTCCTAACAATTGTGACAAACAAAAATGTCTCCAGATATCACAAAAAAATGTCTCCAGATATCACCAAAAAGTCTCCTGGGAGAAAGAGGCAAAATCACTTCCAATGACAAACAGCTCTCATTTAACTTTCTCTAGGTCCTGTGTGTCTCTATTAGGCAAAGAGCATTCCTGGTTGGGATGAATGCATTTCTCATTATCGTTAATGGCAGCTAATATGAACAAGAACTTAATCTCTTAATGTCTCACAGGAACATTATGAATTAAGGTGTTCAGATTCCATTTCATAGATGATGCTGGGCACAGGGAAGTTTTTCCATATCTGGTCTGCAGACCACCAACTTTTGTGATCACTTGGGGAATCAATGTATATTTCCTTAGGAGGTCAGGGAGTTGGAAATCTGCATTTTATGTTCTGGGGGTAAGGTATTTAGATTCTCATTGTTTTGAGGATATTGTAGTATCCATCTACCTTTAAATCCCTGGACCTGATTCATAACTAAAGGGGAAAAATAAGCCTCAGTACAGATAGCCCAGTTTGGGGAGACTGAGCTCTTCTAGAAGGATACAGGTACCTTAGTTATTCTGTGAAAATTCTGCTAAAGTTAGACTTTGGGCGGCTCCCAGTGCAGATGACTGTGATGGATGGCTTAGCTTCAAGGAGTTCAGGTTTCTGAGCTTTGAAACTTGAGTTCTAGAGCTTTCTAGAACTACTCCAGTTCTGACCACCTATGGCTCTTCAGAGCTGTGGTAGTGTGGACTTGTGGCTAGTTTCCTGGGTTGGCTGAAGCTTTGGGACATATGGAGGGTTCTGAAGGAAGTGGCAGTTGTACAACGGTAGGATTTAATCCCCACATTTGTGTCTTGGGTCAAACGTATCTGGAAATATTTTCTCCTAGGCCTTCTGTGTACAGACTCATGGTGCTGGTCTCAGAGGGACGTTTATTCTGTATGCTTGGGTTCACCTGTAACTCAGAGCTCACTGTCTTGATATGCCTGACATAGTCCATCTTGGTCCCTCCTGCTGTAGGTCTGGATCCTGCTGGGCCCATGTTTGAAGGGGTGGACATCAACAAGAGGCTGTCCCCTGATGATGCAGACTTTGTGGATGTCCTGCACACCTACACACGGTCCTTTGGCTTGAGCATTGGGATTCAGATGCCTGTAGGCCACATTGATATCTACCCCAATGGTGGTGACTTCCAGCCAGGCTGTGGCTTCAATGATGTCCTGGGATCAATTGCATATGGAAGTGAGTTCTTTATTTTCTGCTTTCTGTTGGAATCCGTTTCCTCCTGTCCTTCAAAGTCAGCCGGAGCTGATAGTGCTCCCAATACCATTCATTTCATCATCCTCACCTCCTGCCACAGCGGCCCCAACATTGCATTTAATGTTAGCAGTCATCTATCTGCTTTCTCATGCTTCAAGCTCACAGTTGTTATTGACTAATATCTTATGACATACATAGTCACTGAAAAAACAATCAAGCAATATAGAATTTCATAAAACAAAAAGTAAAAGTCTCCCTTTACCCCCTCTTCTACTTTTACTCTTCAGTGGTACCTAGTATGATCATTTTTATATATATCCTTCCAGTTTTTTTCTTTGCAAATTGATGTGTGTGTAATTATTTTTCTGCAAATCACATTGTCCTGCAACTTTGCTCAGTCAATATATTACAGACATTCTTAACCATCAGAGTAGGTAGATTTACCAACCGTATTCTTTTTATAGCCTGTATAATATTCTGTAGCATGCATACAACACTATTATTTCAATTTTTGGTAATCTTTTAAAGATGTAAAACCAAGATGGCTTTTCTGTATATTTATAATTTATCTTCTGAATATATGTGCCTATTCTTAGCAGACTTAGGCTGAAGTCATATTGCTTTTGAAAGTGCTATGTGGTCCAGTGGTTGATCCCTTTGTGGTTTTCCCATTCTTTCAAAGCTTTGGATGCTGGTAGCATTTCCCAAGTCTTGGGCTCACTCAGCTCTCTTTTCCATGATGCTCCACTCTTTTGGGTGTTCTACCTGTCATTCGGTATTAAGACTGTTCCCCTCTCCCATTGTGATTATACACAAGTATACCAGACTTATTTTAAAATTTATTTTATTTTTATTTTTTATATTTGTATTATTTTGAGATGGCATTTTTAAGGCTGGTGGCGCCCATGAAGAAGGGGTAGAGGTGACTTTGACAAATTTTTCCTGAGTTTTCTAGAAGCTTCTTACACTATTAGCCTCTGGTTGCAAGAACAATAATGTACTATGGGCCAGAAAAATCCAAATTATACTCTTTGCAACCAGCTGTCTGTATGACCCTGAACAAATTATCTTACCCCTATGCACCTTTGGGTTATAGTCTATTATTGAAGGGATTAGACTGGAATGGTGTTGGTGTTTTCTTAAAGAGTCAGTTAATAAATACTGTAGGGGACACATAGCCTTTGTTTCAACTACTCTACTCTTTTGGGGTAACATGAAAGCAACCACAGAAAATATATAAACCAATAAATGTGATTATGTTCCAATAAAACTTAATTTACAAAAATAAGTAGCCAGCATGCTAGCCTATTTTGCTGAGCCCTGGGTTAGATGTTATTTAGTATTTGATGCATTTCCTGCACTTTGTAACTATATTTCTTTGAAAGTGCTTAGTGAGTCCTACTGCACAAAAGATCTGTATCACTCTATTTAGTTCTTTTATATGAACTATCTTGCACTTGATTTCTGTGTATTAGTGCCATTTTCTCACCAAGAAAGTGAAATTAGGTAGCCACGATGTTCTGAAATTTTATATCTTAATAGGGTCCTAAAATATCATTGTGCATTTATTAATAATTACACTAACAAAGCACAGCCTTAGTAAACATAGCTATGCTGATGAGGTGTATAGTAATTATTGATTGAGTGGTATAATCATCAGATAGTGACTCATCCTGCATGTCTGTCTCCTCCTTCCCCAGCAATCACAGAGGTGTTAAAATGTGAGCATGAACGAGCCATAGACCTCTTTATTGATTCCCTGGTGAATCAGGACAAGCCAAGTTTTGCCTTCCAGTGCACGGACTCCAAGCGCTTCAAAAAGGGGATCTGTCTTAGCTGCAGGAAGAATCGTTGTAATAGCATTGGCTACAACACTAAGAAAATGAGAAACAAGAGGAACACCAAAATGTACCTAAAAACCCGGGCAGGCATGCCTTTCAGAGGTAACTTTCAGGCCCCAAATTGGCCCTTAGTCTTTCTCCTTCTTAATAATCTTATTGAAGAACAGGTCATATTCCAGCCCACAGGCTGTAGCTAGCACAGTTATATCAAATTATTATGAATCAGATTACATTGTGTCTGACTTAGGAAAGTTACTCTTTAAAAGTTAATGGAGCCAGGCATGGTAGTGAAGGCCTGTAATTCTAGTGTTCTGGGAAACTATGGCAAAAGGATTCCAAGTTTGAGTCCAGCCTGGGCAACTTAGTGAGATCCTCTTTCAACATAAAAAAAAATAAAAAGTTCTGGAGGTATAGTTCAGTGTGAAGGCCTTGGGTTCAGCCCCCATGAAAATCAATCAATCAATCAATCATCAATCATTCAATCATAAAGATTCCTGTGATGTCCTCATGATCGCAATGTCAATACCTTAAAATTTTTCTGGTATTTTTGCAAAGATATTTCATATTTGTTTTCCATTTGGTTGCAACAAATCTGAAGGAGGATGACAGAAGACCAAAATGGTAGCTTACATTTTGGTAACATGTTTTAAAACCATAATATTTTGTGGATATTATTTTATATATGAGGAAGTTGAGGCTCAGAGAGGTTAGTACCTTGGCCTTTAGTCCTGGGTCACACAAATAGAAAGTAGGTAGGCCCAAGTCCCCAAGACATTTCCTAAGGCTCAAGTTCAGGCTATTCCTCTTATACTGCAGTGGTCTCTTAGGCCAAAGACCAGAGCGGGCATAGAGGCTGGGCTGGACCAAAAGGGTGTCAGTCCCTAAAACTCAGTGTGCTGGGTGACTTGGTGTGGGTTGGGGTACCCTGATATGAGAAGCTGAGCTCACAAACATCTTTGTTCTGCTGTCTGTCCAGTGTATCACTATCAGATGAAAATCCACATCTTCAGTTACAAGAACAGGGGGAAAGTCGAGCCAACCTTTTACATCACCCTTTATGGTACTAATGCAGACTCCCAGACTCTGCCTTTGGAAATGTAAGTCTTGAGTTTCCTTCACAACTTTGGTTTAGGACAGAGAACAAGTTGGTCTGAGAATGAGAGAATGCAATGGAGCTTTGGGACAAGTGCAGGAGAGTGAAGTTGGGTGGCCCAGGGGGAGGGCTGAGTGATTCCAGCTGGCCTCCAGTGCGCTCTCCCGCTGCATGCTCTCCAGCAAGCCCTTGACTCAGGACATTTCTGGGAAGCTCCCAGGATGAATCAGCACTGTGAGAAACTGCTCATCAGCTGGGCAGAAACTGCTTTTTCATTTCAGGCAACACATGACACCTGAGGCTTTAGGGAGTTGGGCTCTTTTGTAACGATTGGCTGTGGGAGAAGTACCTGGGAGTCTCTGAGTGCAGTACTTGTGGAGTACCCACCAGGGGCAAAGCACATTGCCAAGTAATGTTAGGATTTTGGAGAAACATTAGCAAAGTAACTCACTTCAGGCTCTAGTTGGAAGATGTGACTCACATTTACTCACAAGTGGGATAAGGTAGGCCGTACCAGGTGCCAGAGGAGAGGGACAGGCAGGAAGAGGCTGGAATCTGAGAAGGAGACCAAACCCTATGGGCTGAGAGGAATAGCATACTGTTGTGCGCGGAAGTGACTTCTTTGTGCTTTCTCAGTTCTGCTTGTTCTTGGTTCTTCTCCCCGGGAAGTAGAAGCATGGAGAGGTGCCCAGGAGTGGGTTTGATAAGAAGTCAGGGTGCTGCAGGCACAATCATCTCTGTCAGTGTAGGGCACAGATGAGCTCTGCATTGGTCCTGTGGTGGGGCAGAGGTACAAGGTGGGGAAGAATTTCTCATCTGTTTCTCTCCAGTCCCTGTGGAGAAGGAGCTGCCACTGTGTCACCCCAAACAGTGTGGCAGCTTTCCAGGTGACAGGGAAGTGAGAAGAGCTTCTCTCTCACCTTGCAGAGTGGAGCAGATTGGGCTGAATGCCACCAACACCTTCTTGGTCTACACCGAAGAGGACTTGGGTGACCTCCTGAAAATCAAACTCACGTGGGAGAGGACGTCACAGTCCTGGTACAACCTCTGGAAGGAGCTTCGCAGCTACCTGTCTCAACCCAGCGGCTCTGCTCGGGAACTGCACATCCGGCGCATTCGTGTCAAGTCTGGCGAGACCCAGCAGAAGTAAGTGCTCCTGTCCCCTCTCTTGCTTGCGTCAGTGACGAATAGAAGGCCACGTCTCTTCCATCTTTGTTCCGTTGCTCAGCACGCACCCTCACCCTTCTGTATCTATCTGCACTCTGCAGGCAAAACCTCAAACAGCTTTGTAGGGGTTCGTGACTCTCTGAGCAAGGTTTCTGTTAACTGCTGCACATTTTAACCTTGATCACAGGCCCTTGACTGGCAGGGTGGGCAAGGGAGGGGCCTGGAATCCAGCCCTTGTTCTGTTTGCCAAGGCCTGTGTTAGCCCAGAGGAACAGAGCTTCTGGACAAGGCTCTTTAGGCAGGTTTCTTTGCTGATCTATTTACTGTGGGGCAAAGTGGGGCATCTCGTCCCACAGATGAAGTCTGCGAGGGGCCTTGGTTTTCGCCAGCACCTTATTTTCAGAGCATTATTGTGTCTCTCCTTCAGAGGCTTGGAATCAGGGGTCTGGGGCTGGGGTTCTGGTTCTACCTTCAAGTAACACAGAGTCCTGTGTGGCATGCCAGCTGGCAGCTTCCCCATTGCTTTGAACCCCAAGCCTAGCATGAAAGATCCAGACCTTTATGTCTCAGCCCCTGATGCTTTGCCCTGACTCTCCGAGCAGGCTTCTGTTTAAATTGAAGCCGGAGAGGGCTGAAAGCCAGGGGAGCCCTGGAGACCTTTGTGAAGAGAAGAGGGTTTTCTTAACCACGTCCTTTCCCCGACCTCTGGAGTGGTCATTGCCAGCCTTGGCATGGGAGGAAGCAATTTCCAGCCTGTTTCTCTCTGGCATTTTCCTATTACAATTCTTCACTTGTCTTGTTTGCATCCATTTTTTTTCCATGTGGAGGACTGAGCTCAGCACCTTCACACTGTGCTATAATATTCCCACCCTTTTATAAAACTTTGAGATAGGATCTCACTAAGTGCCTAAGTTGCCCAGGTTAGGTTAGAACTTGTGATTCTCCTGCCTCAGCCTCTCAGAGTGGTGGGTTTATAGGTATGTGCCATGCCCAGCTGACTAAGCTCCTTAACTGAAAGAATTCAAGGTTCCTCACTTACAGTGTTGCTTAAATATTCATGGACAAGAACAACTGTGGGGCTGGGGATTTAGCTCAGCGGCACAGCACCTGCCTGGCAAGTGCAAGGTCGTGAGTTCAATTCCTGGTACCAGAAAAAAACCAAACCAAACCAAACCAAACAAAACAAAAACCAACTGAAACACAGCTGCAAGGTACAAAGACCCAGAAAATGGATGGGCAAGATCACAAGAAGGAATTAGGGGCCTAGACACCATTTCATGAAAACTATGGCTGCCCCATGCAGCATCAGTGGTACATGATTAGTGTGACTGTATTGTCATTAATGTGAGGTACTTGACACTGATGCTGAGACAGGACAAAAGCTACATTTGGAATAGTTCAAGAACCTTTCCCAGGAGGCCCTAATGACCTTAGGATCTATATGCTTAAAAGATGACCTACCTCACTCACAGCTGAGAAATGCAATGAACACAAATCACAGCAGTGGGAGACTCACTCCCACCCAATAGAATGGCAAAAATGTTCTACTAAGTGGTGGTAAGGAGGGAGAAGGGAACTATTACTCTACAGCCAAGATTAAAAACTAGTCCAACCACTTTGGAGAGGGATTTTTTTTTGTTTTGTTTTGTTTTTTGTTTTTCTCCGGTACCGGGAACCGAACTCACGACCTTGCGCTTGCCAGGCAGGTGCTTTGCCGCTGAGCTAAATCCCCAGCCCTGGAGAGGGATTTAATAAGACCTGGTCAGAATGCATATACCATAACCCAGAACTTCCACTTTTTAGTACATATACCACAGTACTATTTGTAGCTACAAAAAAAGTAATAAAAACTTAAATATTAAGCAGGAAGATGGTAAAACCATTGTAAGGTAATGATTTCATGTTATGTGAAGAAGTAATGACAACTTAGAAAACAACATTTATAGAAGGAGGATTTTTTTTACTAAGTTGAGGTCTAGGGAGGGTTTATTTCATGGGGGCTTGGGAAGTGCAGGTGGCTTCCAAGAGGCAATGACCTTGAGAGGCAGGCAGCCGTTGGAAGGACAGGAGGAAGAAGGTGGGAGAGGTGTGATTAAGCCTGCGTGAGGCCAAATCATGGAAGCCTTCCATGCAAGACCTAGTTTGGAGTCTTGTAGTAGTGATGGGCAATTCTGCAGGCTGTGGAGTTGGGAGTCACAGCACTGCCTGGATCTCTGCAGAGTTCAAGCTACATTAGTGATGTCTTTTCTCTCTTAGATTGACTTTTTGTGCAGAAGACCCTGAGAACAACAGCATTTCTCCTGGCCAAGAACTCTGGTTTCACAAGTGTCGGGATGGTTGGAGAATGAAAACTGAAAGCAGGTAACCAGGACTTTCTTTGCGTTCTAGTCACATGTTGTGACTGATCACCTAGCAGGCGCTGGGCATGGAGAAGGGCAGCAGGGACATGGCATGAACAAAACAGAAGCAAATACTTCCTATGTAAAGCTGCCCTTCTACTAGAAGGATATAGGCATATAAGTGGGTGAAAATATAAAGTGTTGAAGAGTGAGACTGTACCTCTGCTCCTCTTCTGCTTCACCCTGTAGCTGCTCATTGCGGACGGCAAAGTCTTTTTGTCACTAAATCCCTGGGTTGGTGTCCACACCTTCTCTGCCATGATCAGTACTACCCAAAGGTCCAACCTTTGTCCCTTCCTTCTGGGCACCAGATTGAAGTGTGGAGTGGGGTGGGAGGAGAAAGAGAAACACAAAGCATATTCCCTTTCTTCTGGTTTTCTGGAACCCTGTTGGCATGAGTGGATAAAATGGGTCTAATTCTCCCTTTTTGAGAAATAGGAGTACTCATGTGTATGCAGCTGAGTCAGGTAGGGTTTCTTGCTTCTGTATCTACTGCTCTGTGCTGGAATCCCTTGATTTCAGATCAAAGAGGGTCAGGCCATGGTGTAAGGCAGAGGGGTCCTCCAGGGGAACATGCTCTCTGAGTTTAAACACCTTCAGAGGAAGAGGGAGACCATCTCCCACCTATTCTTGCCCCTGCTCTTTCCCCCTTCCCTTATCTAGGGTATTACATAGTAATCCTGCTGCCCTACACGGAGCACTTGGTGTGTGACAACCCTGCACTCAGTGACTTACGTAGTCGTCTAAGTTTATCACCAACCCTAGGAGGCAGTGCTGTTATCCCTGTGGAGAGAAGAGGAAGCTAACACTCAGGAACGTGAAGTCACTCTCCCAAGGTCCCCTAGCTGGGGTTGGCAGAGTGAGGACTGGAAGCAGGTCATTCTACCCTAAAGCCCGTGTTCTCCTGTGCAGAGGCTCCACCTCCTCAGATGAATCGCCTCCCCTCTGTCTGGGTACCAATTATCAAGCAGCTGCGCTCATGCCGAGAGGTCCCCTATGATTAACTGTCTGCCAACCCTGAGGGCTGGGTTGCAAGTGCAGCCCCTCCTGTGCAGGAGCATCAGCGTGACCTCAAGTTCAGTGATCGTAGGACTTACGGGGGTGCAGATGGTCTGTCTAATTTAGAGTCTCAGCCTTGTGTAGGTTCATGATTTTTCTATCTTAATTTTAAATCTTTATGTTTGTATTCAAATATCTGCCTTTTATAGTGCTCCCACATATGCTAACTTCATTGATCCTCAGGCGAGCTATGCAGATCGGACATATCCAGGAAGGGCTGCTGTTCTTATGATTAGAGATTAAATATTTTATTCCTCTTTTCTGCTCCAGAACTTCCTAATAGTTCAGACCTATATGACTTGTCTCACTTGTTGCTTTTAGAAAATGAGTTTCCCTTTCCCTTTGTCCCCAAGGAACAGTAAACAATAGGAATCTGAATAGTGAATGAACATTGGAAGCTGTGGCATCCTCGGACATGTACAGCGCCCTCTGTCTTCTTCCTTGGGACTCGCATGCTGCTTTTCTGCTCACAGATAGGAGCCTGAGGTTCACAGTGGTTCAAGGGCCATTCCTGTAGCTGATGCTAGAATCCAGGTCTCTTCACTCAGCTTTTCCCCCTCCCTCCACACTACCATCCCTCTTGTGTTTCTAGATTCAGGCAAAGAGGAGACTTTGACAGTTCTCATGCTTGCATGTGTGCATTGTTCATGCGTGTGCATGTTGTGCTAAATACATGAATGCCTAACCTGTGATATTTACAACTTGGGGGCCAGAAAGGGCATCTGACGTTTCTTAGAAGCTACAGGGAGGAGAAAGCAGCTTGCAGGAGCCTGTCCATTTCTTCTGAAGGGAAAATGAGTGAAATAGTCCTACAGTGGGTCAGAAAGCTGGGGGGACAGAGTGCCTGGATGCAGGTGTGCCTATTTGCTAACCAATGCCCCACTGTCCCTTGGTACATTTCAGGGCCACTATGGAGCTTGCCTGAGGCATGCACCTTAACCCCGCTGCCCACACACATGGAGGAAAGTTATGGCTGAGGAACCGCTTGAAGAAAGACCCCTCTCAGCTTGATCCTGGAGCCCCTGAGAACTTGCTTGTCTGGCCCACCTTTGTCGCCTATGATGATTGTGGCTTTTGACTGGACAGGCCAGCTGCGTACTGCTGAAGTTCCAGCTCTGTTCAAGACAAATTATCTCTGTTTACACCTCTGGAGTTGAGATTGATTTGTGTGTCAGCAGTGAGATGTCCAGGGTTCCCCCATGCACTTGGCAGTTCTTCTGTTTGCAGGTTGAGCCTGGGCTCTGCATGACAGAGAATACTGGCTGTGAAGCAGCTTTGCATAGTAGGCCACTCATCCTGACTTGAGTCTCAGCATGAAGTCTTTCTCTCAGGAGCTGACTCATATCAGGCTGGCAGGCGTGTTACCTCACTGGCTGAGAGAGGGGTCATTAGATCAGGCTGGTGCTGAGGCCCTCTGTGGGAGTTCCCATGGGCTGCTCTGATCCATACTGTTTATATTTCATGGATGTTCCATCCTGCTCCACACCTCACCCTCTGAAGCACACATCATTGGCTTTCTCTGCTATTATTCATATTTTGATCAAATAAGTGTTTATTGGGCACTTAAAATTAGTTAGCATGTGGCAGTGGACACAGTACTCAACCTCACCATTTGGAACCTGAATAGGGTTGGGGTTCTTAGAATCCCCTCCAGTATTTGAAAGGAATGTATGTATATGTGGTGAAAAACAGGAGGGATACAGGGCCGGGGTGGGGGAAACTACAGGCTCCTGCAGTTGGAAATCTTGTGGTTTTACGTGGCTCCTACCTATTTCTTCTTCATTATCAAGTGCTATTTCCTCCAAGAATGACATGTTTAAAATCACCAGCAGAATGTCAAGAAGAATGTCATACACTGAGGACACAATGGTAACTAATTGCTAGATATGATTGCTTTGGAGCAAAATCTCCTCTGTTTAGGAGCTAGGAGATAGTACATGTGTTCTATAAACCTACTTATGCATAACCAGTACCCGTCAAGAGTGCTAGCTCTAGATTTAATACAGCGCTCTTTTCTTCCTTGATATATCTTGTTTTCATACTAGTACCTTTTCTGTGTTGGACTTCTTGGAAAAGCCTCCAATTGTAGACCTGGATTTGAATTAGTAAACATGATATCTAAGGCATCATTTTATACTTTTCATGTATGTGACCTAAGTAGAGTGAGATGATCAGGACCACAGTCATCATTCTTACTTTACAAAACTGAGGCTTAGTGAGATTCACTCACATGCCTGGAGTTATATACTGAATTGGTGGTGGAACCAGGCTTGGGATCCAGATTTCCTGGAGGCCAAGTTCACAGTACACTCATGTTTCAAACTTCATGAAGACATCCATGGCTGTTTCCTACCAGTACGCCCAGATATAATAAACAAGGGATTTTTTTCTCCAATCCATCCATAAAATCCTAAGCCCTTTTATTAATATACAACCAGGAGAAAACCTGTGCCAAAGGGTTGGGTTTTTTTATGGGTGAGATTTATTTGGGAGGATGTATAATATCAGGTAGAGAAGAGAGTGAGTTTCTCTGTACTTAGGTTTTTAAAAGACACTGTTTCAATCTGTGTTGTGCCAAAGTTATATCACTATTTAATGCCAAACTTCTGAAGACATAACCAGTCAAGTCTTAATTCAAAGTATGCTTTTAATCTGTTTGTGTGCTTCTGTGATTGCTTTCTAGCCAAAGCGAAACTTGTATTACTGGCCATATATCCTGGTACATATGACTTCTGTTTTTTGAAACTTTGGGAACTGAATCTTCAATGGGTTGTGTATTTATGCATTTGACTTGAAGCCTTATTTGTATATATGATGCTTTTTTAAATGCTACTTAAAGCACTATTTATTTCTCAAGTGTATATAATATATAAAGAAAAATATATGGTTACTTTTTACCTTAAGATTAACCAATGTCAAGATTTAAAAATTTTAATAATAAAATAATAAAAAAACTACAAAATTCTTAATGGTCCAACAACTCAGTTCTTAAGCTTTGAAAGAATTATGGCTGCCAAATTCCATGGGTTTGTAAAAAAAAAAAAAAAATAATAAAAAACACCAAAAAACCAAAAGAAAAACCAGTTATGTTTTTAGTCCATAGGTGGCCAGCTCCAAGGCAGGGAGGGACGGCAGAATGGGATGGCAGAGGAAGCTGCTCACCTCATGGTAGCTGGAAAGCAAAGAGAGAAGCTGGAGAAGGAGATAAATCCGTCTAGACCATGCCCTAATAAAACATCTCTCCTGCCAGGCCTGCCTTCTAACAACAGCTATACTGCCCTTCAATCCAGTCATCTTTCAAAATGCCTACCTGTGGGTATATGAGGCTTTGGGGGACATTGAGATACAAACCATAACAGAAGCTCTATGAGGACAGGGATTTTAATCTGGCTTGTATTCTGCTATTGCCCTGGAACCTTTGTATGTGGAACAGAGTAGGAGTTCAACAACTATTACATGAAAGAGTAAACTTGGGTACAAGAAGTTAACTGGGAAAAGAGCATTTAATTTAAAATCAGAAGTCCTGATATGTCATTCAGCATTATGTAAGTTTTAATCTAAATATAATCTTTCTGAGTCTGCTCATTTAAGAAACAGACAATACCCTGTAAAGCTGTTGTGAATATGAAATGTATGTAGTAAGAAAAAAGTATCAGTGTTTTGCCAACATTTGAATTGGAAAGAGGACAATGAGATAAAGATAAAAATACAATCCCTTCCATGTATATGTAGAAATTTTATATATGATAAAGGGGGTTTATTAATCACTGGGAAAGAAATGGATGGTTATCTAGATGATGGTAGGAAAACAGGCTAGTGAAATAAGGAAAAACAAAATTAGATCCTTATCTTACATCATAATTAAAGTTAAATTTCCACTAGAATAAAAGATATAGATGTGAAAGTCATAATGCTAAAAGACGTTATGAAATATAAATCAATGCCTGCATAAAACCTGAAAAATGTCACAACTATGACAATAAGAAATAGACAATGTGAGTAGATTAACAAATATTAAAGAAATGAAAATGCAAATAAGATATTCTCTACCTTACACATTCAAAAACTCTGCAATCATAAGGAACTTACTAGAAAATTCTACCAGTATTTCAAGGAGCATATAATCTGTAATTTACATAAGTAGTTTCAAATAATAGAGAAATCTTTCCAAATCTTCTCATTTATTAAATAAAATCATAGGCCAAATTTTCTTATGAACAGAAATATGAAAGTTCAAAATATTAGGTATTCCTACAGGCTGAACTCTGTCTTCCCCCAACTTGTATGTGGAAGTCCTAACTAGCTGTGTCTAATAATGTGACTATATTTGAAAAATAGTGATTTTTAAAGAGGTAATTAAGGTTAAATGGGTCATATAGTTGGGTCTTAGTTCAATCTGGTATTGAACTGGTATTTTTACTAGAAGAGGAGGTTTAGATAACAAAAAAGAGACACCAGGAATGAGCACACACTGAGGACAGACCGTGTGAGAGCACAGTGCAAAGGAGGCCATTTGCAAGCCAAGGAGCAAGACCTCAGAAGAAACCAACCCTGCTGCCACCTTGACCTTGGACTTCTGCTTTCCAGAACTATGAGAAAATTATTTCCTACTGTTTAAACCACTCCGTCTATAGTATTTTTTTTTTAAAATGGCAGCCTCAGCAAATTAATATAGCAAATGAATCCAATACTGTAATGCAATAAATCATGGCAATTTAGCACAGAAATGCAAGAATGGTTTATTAGAAAATTGGTCAATGTAATTCATTCAATTAATTTACTAAAAGAGAAATACCATTTTGTTATCTCAACTGATATAGTAAAAACATTTCACAAAAAGTTTTAAACTTCCAGAACTTGAGCTGGGGATACAGCTCAGTGGCATAAGCACCTGCCTGGCAAGCTCAGAGTCCTGAGTTTGATTCCTGGTACAAAAATAATAACAAAAAAAACCTTCTGGAACTTGATAAAGCCTCTTTACCAAAAGTTTACAAGAAATGTGTTTAATGAACAACTTTTAAACTTATTTTCTTCAGTAAGAATACAGGATTTTTGCATTATTATTCTTACTATTTAATATTATTCTTGCTATTTAATATAATACTGTAGAACCTGGCCAATGTGATTAAAAAAGAAAAAGAGGCCTCCAGCCTGGAGGCACCCAGGAACCGTCCCCCGGCACCAGGGAAGCCGCGCGCAGGGAGCGCTGGCCTTCAGACCGGCCCCCAGCCTTGCAGGCACCCGGGAGGTGGGCCCCAGGGGCTTGGGAAGCCTCGCGGCAGCGCACTCTGGTGCACGCTGACCCTCAGGCCAGCCAACACCGTGCAATTGAGAACTATCATGGCACAGAGAAACAATGACACAATTAGCCCACCATGCACTGGCTGTGGAGGCCCACCCATGGATGTGAGTGAATCATTCCGACATGGAGAAATCCCTGGGAATACATGCCACACAGTGGATCACTCTTCCTCCTGCCGTTGAGAACCAGAAAGGTCCAGAGTCTGCAGAGGAGCAGCTGCTGAACAAGGACTCAGAGAACATGAGGATACAGACTAAGCCGGAAGAGTCAGAGGTCTAGTGGACTGGGGTCAGGAGAGCCATTCAGAAGCTGTAAACCAGGAGGACCTTGCACAATACCTGGGGAGACCCCCTGGAAGCCATTTTCCCCCTGACAGTACAGGCTCCGGTGGAGGAGCATGTGGAGCTCTGGAGAGGTCTGCACCAAGATTCCTGCTGCCTGTGCTGACGGCTGGGGAGAGGACACTAACTGGTTGTGGGGTCCCAATGCTATGGGAGGCTGGAGAGAAAAAGCTACAAAAAATGGCTTTTGCCCCAGATGGCTCACTTGAGATGTTAGTAAGAATTCCCTCCTCAGTATTCTATAGCTGTGACGAGGAGGAGGCCAAGGAGAGAAAACAAAGAGACTGAGAAAAAGCAGCTGCTTTTGCTGCAGCACTAAGAGAAACAGACCCTAAGTCTGATTCCTGGGGGCCCAAGAAGAACTCAAAGACTGCATTCATCTGCTACTGCTGTTAAAAGCCAGGCCATCTCAAGAGGAACTGCCCTAAGAGGCCCCCTGGGCCATACCTTGCATGCAAAGGTGACCACTGGAGATCAGTCTGCCCGCTGAAGTGGAAGCCCCAGAGCTCAGACCCATCTTACCAGTTAGTCCAACAGAAATGAGGGGGCCTGGGGCATAGCCTGCCTTCTCCCACTGGCCAGACTGTCATCTCCATGGAGGAGCCCCAGGTAAACATGACTATGGAGGAACAAGAAAACAGCCTGTTGTTAGACACAGGTGCAAGTCTCTCGGTCCTTCTTTTCAATCCTGGCCTTCCTTCTAGCTGTCACATGTCAGTGAAAGGAGTCACTGGTGAGGAGGTAATACGCTATTTTTGACAACCCTTGGGCTGTAACTACTTGTTAGATTCTTCTTGCGTATCTCTGTCTTCCTGAGAAACCACTTTGAAGATACCACCATGTATTACAGCCTACTAATCTATCCATAACTCTTAATGTTGGTATTGTTCCTATCCCATTTCATAAATGGATGTATATTTATTATTATGTGTTTCCTACAACAACCATTGAGAATAGTTAATGATTATTCAATAGGTCACTCATGTATAGCTCTATTTATTTTCTTTAGAAGCCACTTTGAAGATACCAAAGTATAGTACAACAGCTATTGATAATCTCCTACCTCCTTTGTAACTCACTATTATTTGTCTATTTGTTTTCCTGAGAAACTATCTCGTAGATAACAATATGTAAAACAATAACCATTGATAATTTCCTACCACTTTGTCTGTAATTTGATAAGCCCCCCATTATTGTTATCCTACTTTTACTCTTTAAAATAAAAATTATAAAAGTAAGAAAAGAAGTGGTATATGATCAAAACGAAAACAATGAAACTCTTACATTTACAGATTACATAATTATCAGCATAGAAAACCTAAGAAATTAGCTGGGTGTGGTGACACATGGTTGTAATCCCAGCTACTCAGGGGACTGAGACAGGAGGATAGCAAGTTCAGCCCAACCTGGGCATCTTAGTGAGAACTTGTTTCCAAATAAAGAAAGGACTGAGAATGCAGCTCAGTGATAGAGCCCTTGTTTAGCATGTCTAAGGCCCTGGGCTCAATCCCTAGAATCGCAAAACAAACATACCAAGCAACCAACCAACCAAAGAAATTAAATGGACTAATGATTAGAAATAATGAGAGAACTTGGTATGGTTGCTGGGTAAAAGACTGGATAATAAGAATTAAGTAATCCTCTTTACCAACTATTAGTAATTAAAAAATTTAGAAGAAGACATTAACCTTCATACTGTATTTCAAACTAAGGAATTTCAAAGTTAGCCTAACATATTTTGTGCAAAATTACTGTGGAGAAATTTTAGAAATTATTCTTATAAGAAGACATGAATAAATGAACTTTTAATGGGCAAAACTGCTTAACACCAGAAAAATATCAAATTGTTCCAAAATGCAATGTAATCTCTAGTTTTTTTTTTTTTTGTACCAGGAATCAAACTCATGACCTCACGCTTGCCAGGCAAGCGCTGTGCCCCAGAGCTACATTCCCAGCCCTAATGCAGTCTTAATCAAACTTTCAGTAGTATTTTTTGATGAATTGAACATTTTGTTCTAAAACATACACTGAAGAATAAAGTTCACAAACATGTAATTTAACTTTGAAAAAACAGAGCAAAATAGAAACACTTTTTCCTGAAAGATATTAAGATATGCCATAAAGTCAAGCTAATAAAAATAGTCTGCTATTGACTCATAAATAAATTAATTAGGTTAATGAAATGTAATAGATTACATATATATATATATATATATATATATATATATATATATACACATATATATATTCCCCTCCCCCCCGGGCCTTTTTTCTCCCCTTTCTGATAGTAGGAATTGAACTAGGATCTTCTCATTGAGCTACATTCCCACCCTTTAAAAATTTTTTATTTTGAAAATGGGTCCAATAAGTTGCCCAAGCTGGGCTTGAACTTGAGATTCTCTTGCCTCAGCCTTCTAGAGTGCTGGGGTTAGAAGTATAT